TCTCGTTTTATTCTGTTATACTGTATATAGTATGTTACATAGTTATCTAAATATTTTATTTCTATCGTGTGAAAAGTGTCACTATAATTTTACGCTCATAACAGATAATTACATATTAAAATACGTATTTTTTTTATATTTATAATCATTTTTATAAATTAACAGCTTCATTTTAAAATTTTATACGAGAATGAAATTAAAATTTTTCCTACGCTTTTTTACCAGATGATCACTTAATATCTGATGGATTTTTGAACTTCTGGGATGAATAAATTCACGAGGGTTATATCATTAAATTTTTTTTATTGAATTGTTCGTTTTATAAAGAATTATTTTTTATTTAATGATTTTAAAGCCTTATTATACATTATTCTTGGAAATGTTTATTAAAGAAATTTTTGATGCAAAATACAATTAAAAATATACTTTGGACCATCCTTGATGTTTGGCATGCTTTATTTAGCGTACAATATTCATAATTATTCATTGAAAATGGTCTTTCAGTTCTTTTTCTACTATTAAATTATCATGTCGGGCGATTGAGTCTGTGACAATGCTTTTGGATTTTTAAAGATACGAGCAATAATTTCAATGTTAAATGACGCACTTTTTTTTTAAAAAAAAAACAAAAAAAAAAAAAGATTCAAATGTAACTATGATAGAAAAGGGAATTTTGATAAAAAAATTTTTTTATTGGTCCACTTGACTGATCACAGTCATGTGCTCAAAATTAGCTTAGGAACTAAATTAACAAAAATTTCGGATTTCCTTTTTTACTCAAAAATTGAGTATTCTAAATTCGCAAAATTATAAAAGAAAAATTCCCAGGACTTGAAACTTAGTGAATCAGATATATCAAAAGTTTAAAAGAAAGTCAGAGGATGGAGAAGTGATATATCATTAAGGACCTGGTTAAAAGTTAGAATTTTCCCTTTCCCTCGAAAACGTCGGTGAATGTTGGAATAATGTAGACCCCGAAAGTATTTTAATCAAGAGACAAAGTGATTCTACATAAATAGAAAGGGAAGAAACGCCTTTTGGCAAAATTTCAAAAACTACTTGGGAAAAAGAAATTAAAGATAAGAATAATATAATCATTTTAAAAAGAGATGAGTATTTCTCAATCCAGCGCGAAGCACTCTTAATACTTTATATGACTTTGGATTTTTCTAAAGATACTACAGATAATAATACAAAGACAATATGTGCTGTAACGAAGATATCCGAGACGCTATTGATGATGTCGTGACATCTTATCGAAATGGAACGACCGTCTTATATACGAATACAATAATGGATTACATGAATCTTAAAAAATTAGTTCAATTAAACACCTATTGAACAGCAGCGCGGACCAAAAGTGCGGGTTAGAATCGAGAAAAAAGCTCAAGGTTTAGGAGGAATCAAAATTGATGAAATTTTTGAAATGGGTATAATATAGTAGGTCGGAATAAAAGGTCAAATGGAAAGGATTAGCACAGAACATTCCACTTGAACGTTTGAAAGTAGCTGGTATTCAAATGACACCATTGTGTAGGCAGTTGAAAATGTACTAAATTTATTAATTTGTGATATTTTTTTTTTTTTTTTTTGTGCTAAACGTAATTGATCATAATAAAAGATTTATAAAACTATTTTCCAAAAAAAATTTTGCAATGATAAATTTATTTTAAAATAAAGTTATAAATCAAAATGGGTAAGCCCGTAACACTTTTAATTTTTTCAACATAATCCCGATCTAAATGTGCTTTAAACGATAATCTTTTTCTTCGAACTCATCGCCTTGATTATTATTATTATTTTTTTTTTTTTTTGACAACGAAAAAAATATATTAAGGCAAGTTTAAAACATGTATTAGATATAACTTGTTCAATAAGAAATAACTTGGAAAGAGTACCTTTTTTCCTGGTTCATAACATCTGCGCTTGTATAATCCATAATGCTATCACGATGGTTGTGAATTAAATGTTCATTTAGTTTATCAAATTGGGCACTAAACAAGAAAGAAATAATAAGATCAATGTGATCATTTTTAAAGTAGCAAGCAATAAACAATTTTTTGAGCCCTTATATTCAGGGTTGGGAAATTAGTACAGTTAGTACAGCTTAGTACAGTTTAGTACAATTAGTACACATAATAATTAATATAAAATTTAGTACAGTACAGTACAAGTACAAGGTCAAAATTTGCCTAGTACATACAAATTTCCCAACCCTGCTTATATTATTTGGTGTAGTTACGCAAATGTTCTACACTACAAGTTTCAGAAAATACTTTTGTCATCTTTTTATTTAGGAATATCATTCCGTTGCTCTTTGCAACTTCCACGGACATAGATAAATTTGGCGTCCTCGATAAAAAGCTCTGCATTAGAACAGGTTGAAAAGTTAAAAACCAAGAGACCATCAAGTAATAGTTAGGAGAGTTGGCTAAGTCCTTGTGATCGTTGATTACGTGAAATTCAAGATTCTCCCAATTGGTAAAAAATTCTGGTTCAGAATAAGCACCAGACAAATGACGCTATTACAAACTGATTATCAGACATTATAATATGGTGGTAGCAATGTTAAATATATAAATCAAAATAATTATCTATTATTTCTTTATTTTTTTCTCTTTTTAGTTTGACAAACATGTATGACCATTAATTGTTATAAAATTAGCTAACATTTATGTTATACTTAATGATAAGGATTTGTAGAAAATTCTATTATTTATAACTACAATATACTGAATTGTCTTTCTGTTTATCAATCTGAATCAATCTAAAGAGTTTTACCAATATTTACGCATTTAGCTCCACTTAATATCAGTTTCTTGAACATAACTATACTGTCTTAATTAGGAAAAGTAAACGAAGTGGTTAAAATATCGGTCTTTGACTTATAACATTGTAATTTCTAGTATATTTATAGTAACTCTGTTCATGGCTAAACTTTTGCTATTGTAAAATTACTTCACAGCTATTATTATAAATGCAATATGATTTTCCGGTTTACTTAAACAAAACAAAATTTTTCTTATCAATTAAAAATGTTGAAATATAACTTTTCCATCACTGCTTAAAATGGATACTGATCGCTTCGACAAAGTTCTTGATTTAAAATTCCGGTTACACGATTTTGTAAATATTTTCTGCATCCAATATAGGCATTAAATTACATAATGCATCAAATCCTTATGATATTTTTCATAAAGAAATTTCCCTAATTCTGCGCACTTTTAAACACTCACGTGTAATGTTTAACAAATATCGAAAATTGAAAACCAGAAAGGAAAAAAAATAAAGAAGGAAATCTAGAGTTTATATTATGTAAAGAAAGAAGAGATAAGGTGTTTGTCCATAAAAATTCCATGCATGACGATATAGATGAAGTGTGAACGATAGACAAGGAACTATCTTATTAAATTCGAAATGACTATGCGTATAAAGAAAGAAGATAATTCTTTGATGATTAATCGGAGTTCGGTGAAGACTGTATGTGCAAGTGTCTGTGTAATAAAATTTGATAAATATTAAAAATCAATATAAATATCAATAAAATTAAGCTCTCTTACCACATTCAAATAATAAAACATTTTAATTGAGCTCCCTAACACATTCAAATAATAACATATTTTAAATCTAAGACAACTTAGAATCATGAAAACCATTAAGAAACTTAACTTAGTACTTGTTATCGCGGTTGTAATATTTATCACTTTCGCTTCTACTTCGTCTCCTAATTTGAAAAGACGCGAATCTATAAACGAGGATCAATCATCTTTGGTCAAAAGACAGTACAAGTGTAAAGCAGGATATTATCCGTGTAGATACGGTGGTTGTTGTTACGGCACTTCGTTTTGTTATGCTTATAATAAACAATACTATTGCGGTCTTCCTCCTCGTTGTCCTGTAGATTGCGGTGACGGTACTTGCTGTCTTTCCGGTTTTTATTGCAGCTCGGACGGATATTGTACGAGACGTAAATAATGTGACATAGTATTTACTTAAACTATGATAGTATTTGAATTTATTCATTTCTCGTTTTATTCTGTTATACTGTATATAGTATGTTACATAGTTATCTAAATATTTTATTTCTATCGTGTGAAAAGT